TAATTTTTTCTTATGCTTAATTTTCTCTACTATTACTACTACCACTGATTGTGTCACTATTTTTATTACTCTGGGATTAGTTTTGATAATTTTATTTCCCTGTGCTTATGTAGTATAGCAACTTGAGCCCATGTCAATATGCGTCAGGTCTTAGGTGACATATCAATGACTGATTGATTAGATAGTTTTCAAAAATTTTGAATCAAAAGAAAAGTATATTTAATAATAGATATTTTTCTTCTATTCCAATAAGTAGAGAAATTGTATTCCCGACATTTTGTGACTTAATATAAGCTACTTCTTTAGCGTAGTCGTTTCAGAAAGCAGTTTGAATTGTTATGAGTCATTTTTACTTTCCGACCAACACCAAAGTCGGAATTTTCAACACAAATGTCAAGACGGTTCTACTGTATGGGGCGGAAAATCGGTGAACTACGAAAGCTATCATCCAGAAAATACAAGTGTTTATTAACAATTGTCTACGCAAAATACTTGAGATCCGTTGGCCAGACACTATCAGCAACAACCTACTGTGGGAGAGAACAAATCAGATCCCAGAGGAGAAAAAAATCAGATAGAGGCGTTGGAAGTGGATAGAACACATATTGAGGAAAGCACCCAATTGCATCACAAGGCAAGCCCTCAAGGTCAAAGAACACATTATGCCAAGAAATGGAGACAGATGTAAGAATGAACAACAACTGGATAGATCTAGAAAAGAAGGCCCATGACAGGGTGGGTTGGAGAATGCTAGTCAGCGGCCTATGCACCATTAGGAGTAACAGGCGTAAGTAAACCCAGTCATTATTACTTAACAATAAGTAACTTGGGATTTCTAGCACTTTTTATTTAATTAATTAGCTAACATAGATAATTTTTGTTTGAAAACATTTGTCACTACACAGCTACATTAATCGAAGGAATATTTCAAACCAGGGATAGCTGAAAAACAGTTTACGAAGTCAGACATGTCCAATTTTAGAGTCTCACTCCAGAACGAATTAGCTATTCAACACCCTCTATCTCGGAATAAATGATACTGTTATTTAGTGCCGAAAACCAAATAAAATAAGAAGATTCATTGTTCTGCCTGTCAGATTTTTTTATTAATATTTTCCATTAACCATTACATGTTAACCTATCAACAACCGAATACTAACCATTTGATTAATTTATAAAACATAATCAGAGAAGGGTTTTGTGGATGACAAGTTCCTTAATGTCTGTTTACTGAACTAGTCTAAAAGTAATTTTCAGTTATACATGCGTTATTTGTGTAAGGGTTTGTGGTAATTATTGAAATTTTAATTAACAACATGAATTGATCTAAATCAAACAACCAGAGAAAATTACAAGTCATTGGAGTTATTTTGTTCTAGTATGGAACTCCTCATCAATCTGCATCCAAGGTCTCACTAGGAATTAATAACGTATAATTTTAATAGTTAAATGAGTCAATGAAGAACCTGGAAGCACTGAACGGTCATTCCATCCTAGTATAGGACTTTTCAGCAGTGCGCATCAACGATCCCGCCTCGCAAGATTCGGAGCCAGGACCTATCAGTCTCGTGAGCGAGCGCTTAACCACTAGATCACTGAGACGACATCCAACGCTGTTAATGTCTGATTTCAACCAATCTAAGAAGTTGTGCCACTGTCCACTAGTGCTTCCAGGTTTTGAATGAATTGATAAGGTCTTATTATACTTATATCATTTTTACTTAAGTCGAATCAATGAAAAATAAAGTACACTTTATTATATATATATGTATATATACATACATATGATTGTATATATTTTTTATATCACTTTTATGGAGGAACAATAATAATTTGATTAAACCAACCAGATAACGAAACAAATGAATCAATTTTAAAAACAAAAATCCATGTTTGTTTTTTTCTTTTAACACGATCAATGAAAAATTATTCCACAGAGAAACAAAAGTTAAGAGAGAGAGAAAAAAAAACAAAATATTGAACTTTTTGTATAAGAAACAGGATAAATGATGAATTCGTGGAAGAAGTGAAATAAGCAACAGCGGTAGACTCGATTAACTAATTTAATTCACTCAATTTTGTATACATTAAAAAATAGGACAAGACAAAAGAAACAAAACGGTTCCTGAGATAATGACTATTGAAATGTCTTTTGTGCGTATTAGTGTTAATGATTAACTATTGATTCAAATGTATAAGGTTGTAAAGAATAGTTAAACTGAATAAAGATGAAAGATAGAGTTCATTCCAAGAATATCGATGAAGAAAACAGAATGAAAGTAATAAAGACTTTAGGAATTAATCAAAGGGAAATTTGTAATCACAAACAATATATATATATACCGTTTATATTTTGAGTTGATTATTGAATACAAATGATGAAAACAATGAATAATTCTGTCTCTGTTTTGCCTTTTCACACAAGTAGTATATGTGTAAACAATTGTTTGTTTTTTCAATAGAAAGAGAAAAAAAGGCGGATATATCATACCATTCATAGTATGGTAAGATTGTAAAACACACAGAGAACAGTATACATTGCGTAATGAAAGAAAAATGAATAAGAGTTTAGTGATAATTTGATTAATTACCAAAATGAAGGAATAATAATAAACAGAAACAATATGTTTCATTTTGTAAATGAAATCACACCATTGCATTTACATAGATTTACGTGCACACACAAGAGAACCGAAATAAACATACACAGACAATAATAGATACTCCTTGAAGGATCATGACGAGAACAAGGATTACAAAAGTAGTAATAATAATATAATCAGTAGTATCAATAGTAACATTGACAATAACTGTAATAGTAGTAATAGTAGTAGTAATAATAATAATAATAATATCACTGTTATCAGAAATGTAAATATTAATTAAGCAGGTTTGACCAATAATTAGCAATGTCAAACAAACATATAAACAAGCAGGTAACAACTATTCATTTATATATGAATATATATATCTATCCATATATACCTTACTTTATGAATGAGTACAATAGAATACAAAATAAGGTTGGTTTTTTGTTGTACAAAACAAAACAAACGAGAAAAAAAACAGTGATCATTCGTTAATTAATTAATTAATTAATTGATGAAATCGACTATTTCGCTTTCATTAGATATTAATTCAGTCTTAGATTAAGCTTACGTAATGAACAATTTTGATGGAATGAATAACTAATTATATATGTATGATTGAAATTAACTTTAATTATCCCAATGACTATTTTATTTTTAATATTGAAATTCACAAAATACCAACAAACAAACAAACAAAAAATAATTCAACAAATGTAATCAGTAAGAAACAAAGAAATTTTTAAAAAGAAGAGGTAAATATTCACGGTTGATAAGTTTTATCAAGGAAATGTGTACAACCATGTCAATATAACTTTTATCTGATTGTACTTATCATGATTAGACTAGTTAGTTGAAATAGTAGAAAAGGAAAATTTAGAAAGAAAAGAAGACAAACTTGCCAACAGCAACAACAAGAAGATGAAGAAGAAGAAAGAATCATGCAAAACAGAACATAAATAAATAGAGAATAATCCGAAAAGAGAATATAAGTTAACAATTGGAATACTTAACATGTTCATACATATATATATATGATTTTGTAAGTTAATTATATACCTGATAAACTATTATAGTTTGATCATGATCAAATTGAAAAGGGATATATAGAAACTAACAAATAATTAATTTTAATTAAACAAAACCTGATTAGTACTTGTGTTGTAATGAGAGGGCAATAAATAATAAATAAATAATTGATCATTGAAAGCACAATGGAAAACAAACAAACAAACAAACAAAAAAGAACCATGAATTCTTACAGAGCCAAAATAACATTAAATTGTAAATTATATATATATGTTATGCAAAATGAGGAAATAGTGAACAACAACAAAATAACAATATAATGATATTGTAAATATCGTACATACAAACGCATGGTTAACAACAACAACGACAACAAGAAAAAAGACAAATTAAGACTATAAAGCGTATATACCTAATTAATTATAAGAATATATGAATTCCCTGAGTAATTGTAATGTAAAAGGTGAAATTATTCAATAATTAATTAATTCAGTTCTTTTTAACTAATTCGCACAATAGACATTATCATACTAATAAAGATTGGAGGAAAAACATAAGTTAATTGATGAAGGTAGTATATGAAAACATTGAATATAAGAAGAAAAGAGTTTAAAGTAAAAATAATAATAATAATAATAATAAGACAAACAAATACCTGAGTTGAATATTGAATAACCCTGAGAAGATGAGAATAGCATATATATGTATATGCATATACTCTTAATATCCTGATGGTATTGTTTCTTTTTTCCAGAGTAATACAAAAGTGATGATAATAATAATAATAATAATAATAATAATAATAATAATATAGCTACATAAAATATTTGTAGAACATTCAATGAAACGTTATAAGCCCTGAGATAAGTTAAATACAAATGTCATAAATGAAATAATAAGTAATAATGTTACATTCAAAGAGTTGAATAGACAGTTCAAGACTACTTAACATAATACAATATTGTTCCACATCTTGATATACTTTTTTTTTTAAACTCTAAATAATTTCGCTGATAATATTAGCAGTAATAGGAAGAGTTGGTTAGGTGGAAAGGAACAGGGGAAGGGGCGGAGAGATTGAAGGATTTAGAACGATAACCATGATAATAATGATGACAATGATATTTCCAAAAAAGAAAATGTGAAAACTTTTAACAAAAAGTTAAAAGACATAATTAATCTCTAGTCCCTGAGATGAATATTTGTAATTAAAAAAAAGGAAAATACAGTGAACCACAATAAATTAATCCCTGTGACATGTAAACACATGTATGTATCCATACATCATAAGTATGTATGTAGTTGAATGTAATTTTGTATAATTCATCAACATGTAAGTAATTGTGACTGGATTACATTTGTGTGTTTGTTTTTTTTGGTTTTCTATTATGTAATGCTTAGAAATAAAATTGTTGGTTTCTTTTAGAGAATTCCCTGAGAATTAGAAGAAGAATTCAATTTGCAAGGATAAGGATTGAATACAAATATGTTGATTATAAAATAAAGTCTTAAGAATTGTTTTATTTCTTTCTGTATGTTAATCAATGATAAGAATTTGGATAGTCATTATTGGCAAGTTTTATTTTACATATAATTCCGGAGAGAAATTTCCTACAAATTGAAATAAACGAAAGAAGATACAATAATTATGAGCTTTTGAATTATGATGAAGGATTGTTTCAAATCGGAAACCACTAACAACATAGTGGATCCTTGAATATATACAATTTAGAAAGTAGAATACCCATTTTCATACCCAGTTTTATTTATTATAACTTCTGATGACTACCATTAGTGAATACTATGTCCTCCTGAGGCCCCTCTGGGGCTACTGCCGGTCCCAAGCCTGGATAAAGCAGGAGGGTCGGGTATAGGGTTAGCAACCCCAACCCGTAGAAAACTAACTCGCTAAAAAACGCTTAACGAACATTATTTCTCATTTCTTAGTATCAAATATAATAACACTAATTTACTGTACCCAGCATTAGGTTTTCGAATATAATTCATAAAAAGTTATGAAACAGTACCACGAAAAGTTTCCGAATAGTAGAAGTTGTAAGGTCACCTTGAAGACAGCATTTTATTATTTCCACCAAATAGAATTATATTGTCTGTGTATTTATTCTGTCAATTTACGAAATCATTCCCTCTAAAAGGAATTCTATGACGTAGCTTGATAAAAATAAAACCATATTTAAGTAGTATATCCACTACTAACAAAACTTTCAAAGCAACGAAATCTAGAGAACAATTACTATAAAAAAAATAAATCAAAGAAGTATGATTTATTTTAAACCTTTTAGTCAAGCATTAAACCTCTTTGAAATTCAGCTAATTTCAAAGTAACCACAAGAAGTATAGAACTAGACTATGCAAAACCTTAGTAATACTATGATAATAATACGGTATTGACAACGTATGAAGTTCTACGTTGTTGCTGACTGACTTATAATGTCTTATTTTTCTTGAGCTACTGATTAATTATATGATCTGACACTAAATATATCTTCCCCTTTTTGTTAATATCGACAATGAACATATATACATGGATTTAAACAAAACAGAATCATATACTTGGTAGAAATAATAATGAGAACGACTGGACATTGAGAACATAGAGGAAAGGTAGGTATGAAGAAATGCTGGGATTCAAGATCAAGGGGAAGATAAAGGGTGAACGATCCTGAAACATGTCAACCGAAGTCTTCAACCACTGACTGAGGTTATCACACAGACCATAACCAGGTGATCTCCATCTACTAATATACTTCAGACTAACAGTCAATGACTTCATGGACTGACAAGAAGTGAAAAAGAAGTAAAGCGAAATGATTCGAAATAATTAATACACTACCGACAACTTCTAGAGAAGAAAGTGAACATAAAGAATACAATTTAGGACGAAAAAATAAAATCAAGAAATAAAAAGCATGGAATAATACAAATGCTTAGGATTAAGAGGAATATGTAGAATGAATTTATTTACGTCACTCATCGGTCCTGAGTTATATTACTTAATAACCCCAAAACAACTTATTAAAATGATCAATAAGGAGGTCCACATCTCATGATATGGTTCAAGAAAACAGTTAGAGACTATGTTGTTTTGTTCACCTCCCGACTTTATCTAGCTTACTAATACATCGACCAGTATTTTGCGCTGAAATAACTGATAGCTATAAAATGTGTTATTCAGTAAACAAAGTTACATAAACTCATCGGTCGATTTAAATTTTTACATGATATCTTATGCTTAACCCCTGTATAACTTATTCAGTGGTTCTTTTATAAGCTATAAATGTTTTAAATGTATATATACACCGAATACACTGTATTTATCATATAAGTGAAAAGTAGATTATTTAAGCTGTATAACTCACGAATTATAATAATTCACTAGATATCTATGTATCTTGTTGTTCGCATGATAAAGTTTCATTAATAGGTGATAATGCATTTAAATTATGCTTAGTGTCAGGAGTATTATTCATTATATCTGACTGTGAGATTGGTGAGGTATGATATTGTTGATGATGTGATTGCTGTTGGATTTCTGGTGTCCCACCATTTGAACTGATTGCATGATCACTTAGACCATTATTACCATTATTATTATTATTACTGTCAGTATTCATATTTGTCCATAAAGGCGGCAAACTTTCATTTGTACTACTAGGATGAATTATATTATTATTGTAAGATGTAGGAGTATTAGAACGTGAACTATGGTTTTTAACCGAAATTACCGATTTATTTAAACTCATATGATCATTTTGATTTTGTGTCGATATCATTCCTGTTGATTGTACTGATGAGGTGACTTGACGTTGAGGTGAGGTTATTGCTGAAGAACAAGAGTATTGAGATGATTGTAAAACAGATACTTGACTTCGTTGGTGTTGTTGTTGTTGTTGAGGTGATGGCACCAAGTAGTTTGTTGAAAGCATTTGTGTAGAAGAAGGAGAACAATCTCTGGAATTTGAATATGTATTCGAATTGGATGGATTATAGGTTATTGAATTATCATGATAATTAAATTGTCCAGAAAATGCATGTGATTGATTATTTAAAGGTGAATCAGAATTTGATGTTAAATTTGTAGTTGACGAATAAGATCCTCTCATATGAGATGAATCTGGAATTAAATGTGATTGTTGATGAATTTGATGTTGTGAGTTTTGTTTTTGAGTAACGTCGTGTATTTGACCATCAGAAGAACAATGATCAATATTACCAGTTTGAATTCTATTTCCATTGTTATTATTATTGCAGTAAACCATATTTCCGTTAATTGAACAAGATGGTATCATATTGGAAATATCCGATCTATTAATAGATTGATTTGGATAATGATGATGAACAGCTTGTGGAATAGATGCTGTTGAAGAACCATAATTTAATGGTGTTGTATTTGTGACATCACCATATGGAATAGCTTGTGGGCAAACAGACGAAATATTTGGGCATATAGGATATGAATTACCTGTATGTTGAGAAGGATTAGGAAGAGGTGTTGATGCACCATGATTGGATATAGGTACAGTAGAAGTATCTTCATGTGGAATATCATATGTTTCAGCATATAATGGTGCTAATCGTGTACGATACCAATTTTCTCTATACCATCGAATACATAATTGTACTTCATCCCCAACTGTGGTCGCTTGATTAATCACATTTCGTACTTGCCCAATTAAGGTAGACTCTCTTGGTCTATTACGTTCTAATTGCATACGAAGAGCAGCTAAATGATGATCTTGCATAATGGCTACTTTATTCGGTTCAATCAAACCATAACGATCTAATAGATTTTTTTAAAAAGAATACAGTTAGACAAATCCTACGTCTTAGGTGCTCATCACAAATAAACAAATTGAAATAAATTATAAATTAGGATAGAAACAATTACGAAATCATAAGACAGTAACAGTTTATAAAAGATGTTATCACAGAACTATGGGTGGTCACAGATTTGATGTAATTCAATAACAAAATAATAATCATATCCTAATGTACTTTCTTGAATCTAGTTTCCACAGTACCTACTATAAGTCAAATGAAAAGCTTGAAACTGACCAAAAGAGTAAAATATGACAAGAACTTGAGCCAAAATTGACATTAGTGATGTCGGTTGATACCCACAGAGTTATATCTCACTGTTATAGGAAATCACACTTCACCCAGCAGGTTGGAATTTTGGACCCTATTTTTAGTAAAGTCTAAGACGGTCATGTAATAACATTATTAGGTAAATTCTTGAAAATTATTTATCATTTTCATAGACTGACAAAACATGACTGTCTTATCCTTACTTAAAGGTTACTTTTAAACATATGAATAGCTTTTGGTTTCTATACATAAACCAGCTTGAGTCAAATTACCCTCTCCCTATTTGTTCGAGGATCAAGATTTAGTAAATTGGTGGATATATCAAAGTTGGTTTCGAACATGCAAATATTCTTTCTAATAAATATCTTAATTTATACTATATCACATGTCTTGTTCATGTTGTCTGGTCTACTAGTAGTTCTTTACATCTCGATCAGCTTTCATAATTACCACACATTGTGAAAATGTCTAATGGAAAATGTCATCAAATATGTGTAACTGTACAAAATACGTGAATAACTTTATCTTAACTAGGAAGAACTGTCTAAACCTGTCATCAAGATAAATACAATTTATGATATAGTGCATAATTGGGAGTTATAGTGAGAGGTTGTGATTAATGGAGTTTAACCGTATCCAGTGTGAGAAAAGTATCAACCTCAGGCAGTGGGAAATGATCGCTCAGTGTTGTGGATTGATTAAAGCTAGGCATGTACAATACTGAATGCCAACTCAGTAGTCTGAAGGTTAGGCGCTTATAGTGAGGAAAAAGGTCCTAGATTCGTTCCCCAGTGCAGTCATGGATCTGTACTGATGAGGATCTTCCTAATTTTAAATTTTTGTCTATGATCAATCACCGATGGTGGTCTAATTAAGAATGTAACAAATAACAAATACACTATTTACTAAACAACATAATATTTCATCTGATTCTACAAATTACTTAGATTATTATTACTATTACATTGTTATTCTTTTTTCACAATTAAAAAATTGCTAACAACTTACTTGGTTTAGTGATGACAGCAGCACAACAAAGAGCAACTTCGGTGTCGTTCAGCACTAATGAATTGAAATTTTCGGAGAACGAGAAAATTGAACACACAACACTCGGCTGATAAGGAAAAGAATTTAGTAAAACAAAAAAGGGATATTTTATTGTATATTTTTCTAAAGAGAGAATGATATACTACATATATAAATTAAGGGAAATTACGTTAATGGTGCCCTGTCGATAGGCAATTTCAAATATAGTACATGTCACCTCAAAGAAAAATCAAATTCCTATTCCTGTTATTGTAAGATATTCACTGTACTGGTTAGTTAATGTAATTGAATAAGAATTGATTTTGGGAGAAATTTAACAAATACGTCACGATTTAATATATCATCAATAAATATTTTATCCAGCATATTCATTGATGACATCCAGTTTGACAAAGAAACTTGGTGGTCTGAAATAAACGCACTTACAACATGACCTGAAAGTTTTAGATTGGATCCCTGATATGGTTATGGATGAGAATTTTCGGTGAATCCTGTACGAGGGCAAAATAATTATCCTGTGTTTTCTTATTTTCACATGGATTTCAAATGATCCCAATCCATGACAAACACTACTTATCAATCTCCATAAGTTCCCTCAAACTAATGAAATCTTAATTAACCAAAAACAGATAGAACTTGAATATTAACCAACTCCAATTACACCAAATTATTCAATTATTGTAAATTATCGGCTTCTATTCAATGAAATATACATGTATAATTAGTGACAATTTGTATAACCTTTAAAAAGTTGATCATTTATCGTTTATATCATTTATCAATCATCAAATAATAATAGTGTACTAGGAACGTTAAGTTACGGTAATGTATGTAAGAAATAAGAAGTTTTAGACAGATACATGACAAATAAAGCATGAATTGTATTAAAAGATTACATTATTATATAATTATAATTATGGCGCCCATTTCACTTATCATATACATACTTACAAACAATAACAAACGGATGCAAAAATATAAACGGGTACACAAATACTAACAAGAACAACAAAAAACTTGTGAAAAGATATCTGTACAGAAATACACATACAAATATAGACAAAATATACATTACTGTTGTACATTGATTCTCTATTCGTACGTGCAATAAATTTGAAAGTTTAGTACCTGGGTTATTTATTATAAACGAGCACTAGTGTATTTCGATACAGCTAGTCATTATTATTATTATTATCAACATGGTAATGACATGAATACATATTTGTCATAACGACTATTGTATCAATTATATGTGTGTGAAGATGTATATATATATATATATATAAATTAAGTCTTGTACAGATGAAAGCAACAATAATCAACCGCATTCATCTAGAATACACAAATATACATGTTTATACAATTAATAAGGGAAATTTTTCGGGTGAAAATAGCCGGAAGTTGTAATATATATATATATACCCTGTGAAGTATTAGTAATGACACTAATGACTTTGGCAATAATATGAACTGTGACTTTATAATAGATAGTTCGATTAATGAAAATGTGTAAATATGATTATTAAAAATTGATTAAAATATTTCTGGTATAAATAAAATACATTGAATACAAGATGAAATAAACTAGCAAACATTTAGTCAATTGAACAGTTGAATATGGTATCATTGTTGATCAGAAATTCGATCAGATTTTTCATTGAAATTATTGTGTCACTGTTTGATTTGTGTGCTTTTACGTTCATTCCAACTGATAAATATGATTGAGCATATACATTTATATTACTAACTAAATAGTAAACAGTTTATTAAATAAAAATAAATTATATGTAGCCAGTCTGTCAAAATTATGCTATTGTCGAAGAAAAGTTTTAAAAAACTTCCTTTTGATTAATGTTATGAAGTAATGGACTGCTTGAAAGAACCTAATGCCAAGTTGTTTAGTCTCAGTACCTGCCTTATCAAGTCCTATTGATGAAATCGCTATATATTTACTGATTCAAAATGACTTGGTGTTTGGATAGAATCAACAGAAAGTTCTATATCAAACTATTGTGTTGATCAAGATTTCTAACCAGATATACATTTTGGCAAATACAAAAAATACAAAAAGTATGGTACAACTACATAGAATCGTTACTAAAGGTATCTAATATCATTTATATTTGGTTTCATGAACAACGATTTAAGAATGATTTTATTATTAACCTGCCCTCTTTAGAAACTGATATAGACCACTGGAAATGTGTGAATTTTTGAATTACCAAGCAATTGAGGATAGTTTGAATTCTTATCAATGCAGTGTTGTAGTCTGGAAACCAGACATAAGGTAAATTGTATCAATCATCACGGTCATAAATAAAAATTTAATTCTGAACCTAACATTCGTAATTCATTTATAATACGGTTTTCCAGTTTCGTTCAGTGTGACAAATTAAACTGTCCATTTAAATAACAATAGGATAATACTAACGCAATTTCAACAAAACATCGATAAGATAACTACTTATAAAGTCTTTCATATATAATTACTGTTTCATTGTTGCATTTATTTTAATTATTTGTAATATCTCATGAAAATCACGATAAATGTATTCCAGTTACGACTTTATTTTACGCAGTTACCCCAAATCAATTAGATATGAAGAAAAGCATGCTATCCATGTGACTATTAATGTGATTGCAAATAAATCGTATAAATACAATGGAATTTAGTAAGAGCATTACTAGCTGGCTGATAATTTTTGACTTAGTTGAGCAGATTAACATCAACATGGTATGGCTCTACAAAAACATGTGGTACAGCAAGTTTGATATTGTAGTGAAATATCAACAAACATATCATAGATAATTGTAACTTAGTCATTAGGTACAACTTGTACAGTTGGTTTTAAACAAAATTTCTATATGTGGGAATTAAATAGTACAAGGACTAGACAAGCATGACATTGATCACCACCCAGTGATCAATCAATTGTGATTACATCTCAGTCCTACAGGAGGTTAGTCACGGCTCGGATAGTTCAGTGGTAACGTCTCTGACTGTGAAGCTGGGTGACACGAGATCGAATCCGCCAGGGAGCACCAGTTCCCTCAAGATTACAGGTACACCTTGCTGACGAGTGCCAAGTAGCACGAAACCCGGGTCCAGGGTTTCCTGTTTACTACCTCCAACCAACATCTAAATCTCAATCCATAGTGCCCACATTGTCGAGTCACCTAAACTGGTGGCCACATTGCAACATGATCGATAGCACTCGATCTGCACTAACAAGGACTAGACAAGCATGACATTGATCACCAACCAGTGATCAATCAATTGTGATAGTACAACTCAATTAACCAAAATGAAATTGGGGGCGGAGGGGGAGTGTGTTTCAAATCGAGAACTGAATGACTAAGTCAGTCAGTCAACTACAATGTAGGATCAGGCACATATATGCATCGGTCCACGTTGACATACCTCAATAGCAGAACAAGATCAACATCGGGTTCATAGAAGTAGTTAATTTAGTGGTGGTAATATATGAAAGGTTATGTGTAAGAATATAGTACAGAAATAAAGAAAGATATAGAGCTATTTTAATCTCATAATTTAAAGGAAGACAGAGAGTGTATACACCTCCGCCATTGTGATCATTTCTGAGCCATGCCATCAAGAGTCTCCAACCATTGTTTACGATAGTCACGCGGACCCCAACTAATTAATCTGCATCTATGAACATGACTTAGACTAGACGTCAGTCATTTCAAGCACTGATGCCACGTTTTGGTTTGGCCGCCCCTAACTTTCTTACAATCATCCCCAACACCGGTTAGCATCGCACGTCGTGATAATCGGTATTCAGGCATACGCAACACATGGCCCAACAATCTCAGTCGATGAAGATTCACAACCTCATCAACTGATTTACCATCATTCCCTAATACCCAGTGTCTAACCTCACTATTACTTACCCGGTGATCCAGGCAGATATGAGCAATATTTCTAAGGCATCTATGTTCAGATACTAGTAGCTTACGAGTATCTCCTACTCTTAATGGTCACGTTTTGTAGTCGTAAATTAGAACAGAACGAACTGCTGCGCATTATACTCGTCCTTTTATTGATAGACGTATATCTCGCCTTCGCCATAGATGATATAAATTGGCAAAAGCCAAACGAGCTTTTCGAATCCGTGCAGAGATTTCGTCAAACACCAACCCATTAGGGCTGATCAGACTTCCATGAATGACTAAAAGTCAAATGACGATTAGTTCGAATCCTGTTACAATTTTAAACAACAAACAATGTACAACGTATATACATACACACAATAATATTTGATTAAAACAACTCTTAGTTAATGTTATAAATAAATAAGATTTATACTTTTCAATGAACATCCGATTTTTCACATTATTATTGTCATTTGTATTATTATTATTATTCAAGATTAAATTATTAAAATTTGACTCGCAAGTTATTTCAGTACTACACTTATTATTATTACTATTATTACTATTATTATTATTATTGTCATTATTATATAGCTATATCACTATAAACAAAACTATTTATAATATTGTATACAAACATCTACCTTCAATCACATCATTTCAATAAAGTTTATTTGTTTGCTTAATTAGTCAGTAATCAGTTGATTATTAGTATTATTATTATTACTATTATTACTGTTATTATTACTATTACTATTATTATTATTACTGTTACTATTATTATTATGTTTATTATTGAATATATCAAAATGTTTTTATAGTGTAATTTACTAAACTAATTAGAATAAAAATAAACGTTAAAATGTAATGTTTACGCATCATATATATGTATGTTATAGAAAAAAAATGTTTGTACGAAAGAACAGTTCATTGTTATTGTGTATTTTTTCTCTAATGTTTCAATAAAGGTCTACTAGCTGACAAAACATGATTTCTCTATTAAAAATTTATGATTGAATTTCCAACTGAAATTAATACTTCATACTCATCTTTTTTTATAGTATCATACTGTTAATCCAGCTACTGGATTGTAATAGCTACATTCTGTGAAGATGTTAATAAGTTGTCATCGATAATTGTTAGTTATATTGTAGGTAAACGTAATGCCAAAATAATACAATTTAACCAAGTTGTATTAGGCCTCCCACACTCCAATAACTCTTGACATAGCCGCCAACTGTTGAGAATACAAAAGAAAATATAGGATTTATTCCCGCCCCCCCTCATACCGATTGACGATCATATAGAGGGGGGTAGTGTATCGGTATTAATACACATACTGATGTACTCATGGGAAACAGCCATTTAAAATGTGAATACCCATCACGTATAAAAATTGGAAATATCAATTATAAGCGAAATCCTTTTTTAAGAAGATTTGAGGAAATATTGCATTTCCTCACAATTTATCACATTTAATTAATTGATATATAGTGACATGCGAAGTAGCATCAACACTATAAATAAAATCTGGTCCAGGAATATATATTTTAGATGTTAAGCAAATTTCCATTTAACTTCATAAAGCGCGGTTTGAACCTGAGACAAAGTGGCTGAAAGTTGATTCATCGCTCCACAACTAGTACTACCAAACCGAGGGAATTAAAATAGATCTACTGGGATGACAAAACTTATGATCTAATGGTTGAAAATCAAGTGCTTAAGTTATTATGCTCGTGTCCCATCTAAGGACTATTTATTGTATAGCGATAAGTGACAGGATTACAATTACAGCCGGAAAAACAAAACAGATTTTATAGATTTCGAAACCCAGAGAAGTCAATAATTTAACGGGAATGGTTTTGCAACATCTTTCGACTACGTAAAAATAAATTTTCCTCATATCTTTATACAAACAATGAGTCTATTTCGTAGCTCAATGAGCTCAGTGATAAAGTATCAGATTGTGAAACTACGTGACACTTGTCTGAATCCCACAGAAAGTATTAGTTCCATAAAGGTACCAGATATGGCTTCATAACGTGTCTCAACTACCAAAAAATTTAGGTTCATGCTTCCCTATCACTAGCTCCAACCATCACCTTTTATCTCAAGACATATACACGATGTCAAGTCATTCAGATTAGTGCTTGGATTGGCTTAAGTAATTCGATCACCATTAAAGGGCTAGAAAAACAGGATATTCGTCAATACTTAGTGATCAGTCTATTGCATTTATTCTTTTGACCATATCAAATGATGTCATAGGTTATCAGAATTCCTTTATCAACATCAGTAAAGGGTTGTGGAGATTATTAAGTTCTTTTTATTGAGATCATGAATCGGTTGGTGTTAGACCACCATGGAAAACCTCAAAGCACTGGACGGCCGTTTCGTCCTAGTGTGGGACTCCTCAGAAGAGCGCATCCACGATCCCGCACGTGGGACTCGAACCCAGGGCCTTAAGTCTCGCTCACGAACACCTAACCTCTAGACAACTGAGCCGGCATCTAACCATGTTAATGTCTAACCTCAATCAATTCACGAAATTGCGCGACCATCTTCCATTGTACTGAGGGAGATAACTGTCTCTACCGACACTGATTAGCTCCACTGGTCACGGCTTCTTACTAGAACTCTGAGAATCCCCTCACGAAGCTAGTCACCAGTGAGCACATTGTCATTATCCAAACGAAACGGCCGTTCAGTGCTTCCAGGTTTTCAATCGTGGTCTAAAATCAATCGATTCATTATCTCAATAAAAAAATTCCTTTATCAAGTTATCACTTTAAATAATTTATTTTTAATGCCCATACTGAGTTTATAAATGGTATTATTTATCAAACCCACGTCAAATTATCAGAATTTCTCACTCACACACACACACACAACAGAATAGTCTGGAAAAAAACTTGTTTTATTTACAATTTTCACTGTGAAATACATCACAGAACATAGATTCATAGTCATAGGATAATAATCACAATGAAGACAGTTTTATGGGGAACTTAATCGAGAAATTCAATGCATATTTCATGTGAAAATCAAATCTAATTATAATTATGAAAAATCAACTGAAAAAAATTAACGTTAATTGTAAACAGTGTGGGATCGTGGATGTGCCACTGTTGAAGAGTTTCATACTAAAATGATACAATTGTACAATGTTTCCAAGTGTTTATTCAATGGTACGCTAGTTTAAATTTACTACTGAAAGAAGAAAAAAATGACAAGACAAAATAAAAATTTATAAAAAAAAACACACTTACTGAATATATAAAATCTAATTCTTGTTTAGTAATTTGTTTACCATCAGCCAATGTTATTTTACGATCATGTGTTGATATTAAACGTGATGCTTGAACAAGCCATACTTCAAAAAATGCCGCTTTAATTAATACTAATTGATCTGGTTGACCAAGTGAACTAAATTCCGGGATACGTTTAGCAAATTCTACAACTTGTTGTATACATGGTGCTAATAATTGACTTAATTCTTCATGCATACGTAATCGATGCTCATCCACTTTTTCAGGCCAAAATTCACGTGTTACATTCGACTGTGCAAATAAATAAATAAATAAACAAATAAACAAATAAATAAATAAATAAATAAATAAAATCAATCAAATAAAGAGATAAATAGATAAATATAGAAAGAATTAAATGACAATAATCAATATTTAAAAAGAAATTATTATAACAGAACTTTATACATTACCATTAATCTATCTGATTATGACAAGAATATTGACTATTAATGGTAATAATATATATATATGATTTATATTATTGATAATCGGCTATTAAAATTTCGTTTTGATCAATAGACAAGTTAATATAACTATTGAGTAATTAGTTCTAATTTGTAGTCAATAGTGATTTCTTTTTATGTTTGTATAATTAAGATAGAATAAAATAAGAGTGAATTGTAGATTGGATTTCTAAAACAAAAAAGGACTCAACAAGGAGGTTTAGAATGATCAGTTATAAGTAAAATAGACCATTGGACATGTTCAAGTTACTCTACTATATCAACTATCAATATGGATTAATTCATTTGTCAATGACTTCATGGATTGATACTGCTCTTGGTACGGCCGAGGGTGGGGAGAGTCAGCTCTCCTCCTCTAAATGCTGTCACATAGCCACGCGTATACAGCCACTGCCATGGAAGTTCCACTCACTGCCTTCTCGCGGCATTCCTGTTGTTTACGAAATTGAAAGAACAGAAATCGAATGCCCGGCACTTTAACCGGGTATGTGGATATGGAGAATCCACCTAGGGGGGTTGGAAATCCCTGATTCGGTCTCCAGGGTCCTGAAGGAACAAATGGCGTATGAATCAACCGCTAGTCACCGGCTACCATGGGACTTCATCTCCACTGCCTTTTGGATCGGATCTTTAGGTCGAAGGCTCTGGGTGTGGCCCCCTAAGAAAACCACCTACTTCGGTTTGGGCACTCGGGCAGTATCACAGCCCACACATAAATCAAGTGACTTGTGTGGCGCATATGTATTCGGTACCCATTTGTACTAATATTTATGTGTTCAAATAAATAAAAATAAATGAATTGATGCCATTTATTGCTTCCACTTCCTATATTTCGTCTAAATTATTGTTACATTATTTAGATGTTGAAGGAATTATGATTGTTGATGTTTCAATGCCCACATTTTTGATATTATAGACTCTATTTGCTCAGTTAATGTTGGGATATGCTCATTCTAAGAGGATAAAAATTGGATTGTATAATGTAGTGGAAATTAGAAAGTGCGTTTCAAATCATTTGGGACTCATCATCTGGATACAGCTTCATTGCCCTATTGACATTCATATTGAGATTCCGACACAGTGAATATCGCTTCGAATCTCGCAATTTAAACAATTGTTTGTTCATATCAAATGAAAGTTTACGATAGAAATTTGTCAATAATAATGAAATATGTCACATCATAATTCGGTAACTCTTACAATTATAAATGACAGATTAGGATGTAAAGCGATGAGATTTTAAAAAATGAAATGAATCTATTCACTAAAATAATAAACAAACCATACATATAAAAATTGACTTTAAAAAAGAAGTAGCCACCGTTTGGTTAAGCATGTTTACATAATGATAAACACTAAGAGACATTAGTGTTGTATGAGTTATGTAGACCATAGAATTATTCACAATAAACGTTATATACGTCGTGGCATATAAGACCCTTAACTTATAATCTCTTAGTCTATATCCTCAGACAAAGTAGATCGTCGGCTCATTGGGTACGATGTTCCACTTTCAAACATCAAGTCTCAGGTTGGAAGCCCAATCTATCTACTTCGGTTAGACCAATTGAACAGTATCATTAGCATTTAAACTTGCAGTGTAGCTACTCAAAGTCAAGTGCACAAATCTGTACCTCGTAAATGTGTTCATTGTTAGACGGAAAATAAAACATATCATCATTCATATGATTGTTACCCAAGGTAGTGGATATTTTTAAAAAATGACAAAACACAAAACATTCATTATTTCATCAGTTTATATAAAATTTTAAAAGGTGAATTTATGAGTCTATATAAGACAGAAAACCGTTGAAAACCTGGAAGCACTGGACAGCCATTTCATTCTAATAAGGGACCGAAGGTCTTGAGTCCCGTGTGTGGGATTATGGATGCGCAATGATGAAGAGTCCTGTACTTGGACAAAACGGACATCTAGTGCTCTGAGGTTTTCAATGATGATCTAGCTTCGATCAATTTATGAATTAAACTATTAAAATTACTATAATCTCCATAAATCTCCATTCTTATATAAAATTATAATTATACAAGATAATGATCATTGTATGAGAAACTTTACACAATCCAAATTTGGTAAAGATTAGGAATGGATCAAATTTGATCACAATTATCATTTGTTTTTATCTTCTCTTTTAATTTATTCACAGAATCTAGAAATTTCTATACATGACAAAATTAATGTTAATAGTTGAGTGAAGCATATAATTAACTGTAAATCCTTGTAATGTCATCAGTTTAAGTTTTATGAATGTAATTAAGTTGTATTGATCATTCCAGGTCAAATTTGATGATAGATTTAACATGAATCGTACAAATTAAAATCATTTCATTATGCATATTATCCTAAGTTAATGAATTAGTCACACTCTTATCTGCTGTTTTTTCCCTCTCTAGTCAGAATAGGTTGTATGTAAGCGGACTTTTACAATGGGCTCAGTATCACTTTTTTTGACTATCTGTCAACTGTCATAAGTAAATACAGTCAATATATACGTATATACTACTTACTTATATCATTATTACTAAGTGTTTGAAATTAGTCCGCTACTGGAATTCAAGATTGAATTTTTATCAATTTTTATCTGTATATATGCACATATGACTTGTACAGATTAGCTCGATATAACCATTCTTTTACAGGCCTTTTTTAAATGAATTGTGGGTAGCAATGGAATTCAAGACACACGTTTTGTCTTATCTAAGACTCTGCAGTTGGATGTACCTGCATTCTAGTGTCAATATTCATACTGTTACTTGAACTCAGTGATCATTATAGAGATTATAGGAACTATTTAATTCAAAGATTATTCTTCATCACTTTGACTGACATAAGTTGAGGAACCATTGAACTTACTAAATAGATAATTTATCATAGTTCTTGGAACTCTTCAAACTGTGAGCAAATATAACCTCCTATTAGAAATCTAACACAAGACTAAAAACATAAAAGTTTTGAATTATAAATCTTCTATTAAACTTAAAGGTTTTACGTCCACTTCCAAGCCTATAATATACAAACTAATGACACTCAATAATGTTACCAAGTTGACTATCTAATAAATAATCTGACTAAATAAGCGATTGACTATGCCAACATTTATATCATTAGTCTATTCCTGCTTGATTGTTTAACATTGTATTAGACAATAATATCGTTATGGAATATTATCATTTTCATGCTTCATTATCAATAAACATCTTGACTAGCCTACAACTAGATGATAACATATTGAGTCTGACATATGAGTGTATGCATTTATTGATGTATATATCCATCTATAAATGTGTATGAATTAACTGTCATTGTTTAGTGATGATGTCCTTTTTGTTGTTGTTGTTGTTGTTGTTGAAAGAAACATCAAAACGCTGATCAGACATCTGTCCTATGAAAATTCATTGAACAAGTGTCATTATGTTTTAAAAAATCTCCAACAAAAAAGAAAGATAAATAAATAAACACATATTGTTCCCTTCGCTTTTAATTTATTATTCTTTTTTTTTTAAAAAAAGAACATTATTTATTCATAATACTACTAAATAGAAATGATAAACAGTAATAAATTAGAACACGCAAATTGAAAAGGGAATAGATTGTCAACATTTTCTCTTTAATTTTGTTTAAATCAATTGTAAGACTTGATCATTTCTAAACTTAAACAAAAGTTAAACATGCATATTATTATTATTACGGAGGTATAGTTGAATGATGAATTATTTTATTAAACACAGATGTATATGAGAGAAATAATAATAATAATGGTAATGTGATGAATAATAATGGGAGAGTAAATGAATCAAGATTGGAAGATAACTGGAAGGGATTAAATATAAAGCAAGTCAACATTAACTAAGAAGAAAATGTTTTTTTTTCTTTAGAAAATGATGGGAAGAATGAGAGGGGATTGTAATAACTAGGAATGAAAAGAACAATGATCACTCTCAACAACTTTGTTATCAATGACATTCTGGAAACAGCTCTGATGGAAGCAGGTGATGGTGATGTAGATCTGTTGTTTGGAGAAAAACCTTTCGATCATGAGTATATACGATGATGCACATGCAACTTCATCATTAGATAATGAGTCATTGTAAGTATGGCATGTAATTTGTACCTTGTTTCTAATAAATCATAAGTAGTTGGAAAGCTTGTGTGTCTGGTTAGTTGTATGAGCACTGATAGTGGCAAGACTAATGAAACAAATCTATTTCGGTAAAATCCAGGGTGGATTATATTAAACTGGGCCAACTTTGACTCCACTATGATGTGTAGTCTAGGTGTGAAAGGTTTAGAACACGTTTGGTCAGAACATCTCTGCTCTGTGTTTACAAAACCTGACCTATTTTCTCCAAACATAGTCCCTTTCCTTCTTTTTCTTTACAGTGTTATCCCTACATTTTGTGTGATACATTCTTTTCTTTTGTTGCCCAGTTGTATTAGATTTTATTTGCATTAAACAAAAAAATAAAAAAACATGGCATTAATCCATAAAGTCATAACTGCTAGTCATTTATCGGTAGATGTAGGCTTCCTAGTCAAGCCTAGTGTAATACTCGTAATCATTGGTTGAAATGGTGTAAAACAGGTCGAATATAGCAATTACACTTATTCTCTGGCTTACTTAAAACCTTCTTAACTTTTCATTCTTCTGTCTCATTTGTTTGTTTGTTTTCATGAACTGTATTTCTATCTAGATTTTCATTACAGTTTAAATAAACTCATCTTCCTTATTATTCTTTTTATCAGTTTCAGGTGCGAGGCTCTATAAC